AGTTAGTATAATCAGACATATAGACAAAAACTGGAACATAATATTCATATGCATGTAGAAAAAGCGGTTATTTCAATATTATAAACAGACACTCCAATTTTAATTATATGTATAGATATTGTGTTTTCTTGCTGGGAAATGCTGTGTGCAATGATGCCATTATGCTTCATCAACAGCCTATAAGTGGCCAAGCACTGCTGACCAAAGGCCTCTTCTCACACGGAGAAGGTTTGACCATTAATCACCACGCTTGCTCAATGCGAGTTAGCGATTTCAAACTTATAATTAGAAATTATAAGCCCAGGTTTCCTCACGATGTTTTCCTTCACCGTTTGTCAGTGGTGTCTAGATAATCTTAGAAAGTACATGCAGTTCGGAAAAAGTTGCATTGGTACTTGCCGTTGGTAGGTTTCGAAGCTACGCCCTCGTGCATGAGAAGCGGGCGACTTAACGTCCATGACATATCATTATGAAGATTCCATTATGAGTAAAAAATTAAACTTTGCATGAAGAGAAGATTGGTATATTATAAAAGGTGTAGTTTTGAAACCGTGTCATTTCTCGGGGGCATATCACAGAAGTCATAAAGGTTCAATGTAAGAGAAAGTATTAGGCCAATAGTTAAAAATACGGCAAACTATAATAAATTGTTTAAGTTCGACAGTATTTCAGAATAAGCGACAACAATGTTTCTTATTGGAGTTTTATGGAATTAGGAATAATATCAATTACGTCTTTGAGTTCATGTGTGTTAAGCCGCGTTATAAAGCTAGCTACAAGACAGCGGCGTGTACTTCGCACTTACGGATTTCCGTAATTTCAGAAAATGAAATATATTTCCCTACAATTTAATTTATTGATTTGGACTCAGAATCTATATCCGAGTTACCTCCTAGAAATTGACGCGGCTTTAAAACAACACCTTGTATACGTACGTACTTACTTGCGGCCGCCAACTTTGTCAATATTTTCAAATTTCTCCGGATCAAAAAAGCTCAATTGTTTAGAAAAGATTTCGGATTCCGTTTTAGCATTGTAGCTATAAAAATAATAGGATCCAGTGTTCCGCTCTAAAAAACAAAGAAAAATTTATATTATTCGTATTTAAAATACTAGACAACAACGTCCTCTGGGGTTACGGGTGCATTATAGTGGGGTTATGGTCGGCAGGCCACGATTGTGCGCTTCTCACGTAGCTTCCTGCATCGCACAGAAAAACTTTTTTTTATGGCATAAGCCGGTAAACGAGCAGACGGATCACCTGATGGTAAGCAATCGGCGTCGCCCATGGACACCTGGAACACCAGAGGCGTTACAAGTGCGTCACCGGCTTTTTGGGGATTAAGAGTTTGAGGATCGTTGGGGATTCAGGGATTGGGGAGATTGGGGAAGGGGAAGGTAAATGGGCTTCCGGTAACCTCACTAACACGACGAAACACAACGCAAGCGTTGCTTCACGTCGGTTTTCTGTGAGGCCGTGGTATCACTCCGGTCGAGCCGGCCCATTCGTGCCGAAGCATGGCTCTCCCACACTTAAAACTGTGGAATGATCTGTCGTCGGCGGTATTTCCGAACCGATACGACGATCTAACCTTCAAGAAAAGAGCGTACCTATCCCTTTTTAAAAGGCCGCCGCACCTGTGACTCCTCAGGTGTTGCGGGTGTCCATGGGCGGCGCTGATCGTTTACCATCAGGTGATCCGTCTGCTCGTTACCCGTCATCATCATAACATCACGCCTTTTATCACCGAAGGGGTAGGCAGAGGTACACATTACGGCACTTAATGCCACTGTACAATGTAACACCTACATTTCACTATTTATGATGAGTCTCATGTAATAGGGCATGAGCCTATACCAGGCATAGTTCCAGACTTCGTGCTAGTACTGAGAATTTTTTTCAATCGGTGCCGCCCATGGACACCAGGAACTACCCTACCCTACTGCTGCGTTGCCGGAGTATCAGGGATCAAGGTATTGGCGAGATTGAGGAGGGAAGAATTGGGCCTGCAGTATCTTCACTCACGAAATACAACGCTTTCTGTGAGGCCGTTGATCACGCAAGCGAAGACAGTCCAATCACTAGAAACAAGGTTCTCCCAACCGATCAATTAAATAAATCTCCCTATCGAATTCAATCATGGTGGTAAGTCTAACTAGACTAGTCTAATAGGAGATATTATAGAGCAAAAGTGTGTACACAAACACAGGTGCTCTCTCTTAACTCTCACTCTCTGAACGATGGCACGGCAGACCGACACGACCGGCGAGAGGTCAGGCGCAGGACCAACGGCTTTACGTGCTTTCCGAGATCCGGGGGTGAAATACCATCGAACTGTCTGACTCCGGGCTAATAATGAGAGACTGCTTGGAGTTGGCTGGATAACCGGCTGCCACTTAACGTGTAGCGGATTCGATTCCCGCACGTTGCAACTCTTTGTGTGATCCACAAATTGTTGTTCCGGGTCTGGGTGTCATGTATGTGAACTTATAAGTCTGTAAACGCACCCACGACACAGGAGACCATCCTAGTGTGGGGCAACGTTTTATAAAGAAAAGTAGGTATGCTAGTTTTACTCAGAAAATGCCATTGTTACTTGACTGGCGTGGGAATCAAGCCCGTAGACATTTTGTAGAGTAGCCGGTCGATCAATCACTGCGCATGATGTCGCTTAAACTGTCAAAAACCAAGCGGTCACCGGTGACCGCAACCTATTGTTCTATAATTGTGTCTATAATGACGGTACTTGACGAGTTAATAATAATAATAATAATAAGACTCATTGACATAACGAACCTTCACAACAACCAAATCACAGCACTCAGAAGATTCTTCTTCAATCGCTCACAACATTCACCACTTCATAAAGCGATCTGTCATGCAGACACATACACACCACTCTCTCTAGCAGACCACACCAAACAAATGACCACAACATCTAAACAACAAAAAATACAAACTTGGACTCAAAAATCGCTCCATGGCCGTCATCGACTCGAT